TGGACTCCAGCTAGCTGGGATGCACAACCACAGAGTGGGAACAGAGGAGCTCAGCCCTGCCAAATCTTGCCCTTTCTTCTCCCTCACAGAGCCATGCTGGCACAGCTGGCAGAGAGGTCCCTCCCACACCTTGGAAGTTTCTCTGGAGAGGTGATCTGTCCCTGCTGGCTGTGTCTGTCTGCATGGAATGACAGGGATGTGGCCTGGAGAGGTCTCTGCTGAGATGTCCATTCACACAGTGTGTCACTGGGATGGATTAGCAGTAGCCCTCACTGGGCATCCTTCAGCAATAAATAATTCAGACTGGTGAAACTCCTACATGACTTCTCATGAATGGACTGCAAAGGCCATATTAATAGGAAGGAATATTAATGGCCAGCCAAAGAGGAAGAGTCCCAGGACTGCCCTGGCTGGCAACAGGGCCTGTACCCCAAATACATGGAGCTGTTTATCCTCCCTTCCCCAGCACCACGGTAAATGCACCCAGTCCCAGCTGCTGAGCTGGCTCCCAGGGCAAGCTGGGTGCCTGTCATGCTGGGGGGACCTGCTGTCCAACACAGGGGGATGGATGTTTGTGGGGGTTGCAAGGGGAAGGGGACTCAGCCCTCAGGTTTGGGTTGATAGTGCTGGCCACAGGGATCATTTAATTAATGGCCTGGCTAATTACAATGTGATTGGGAAGTCATCTGGAACGCCCAGAGACAGTGCTGCATCTTCTGACTCTGGCTGGAGGTAGAGCCTGAAGGGAGAGACAAAAACTCAAAAACATCAACTTTTTTTCCTCCTTTGATTTCTTCCTCTTTTCCCCCTCATAAGATGCTATCAGCTGGGGCCTGCAGAGCTTCAACTTAAAAACAAACCACTTTTATTTAAAGTGCCAATATTGTGCTTGGCTCCATATGAGACAGAAACATTAACTTTGTCTCTGACCTGGGGAGCGTGTCTGCCTGCCTAGCAGGCACTGAAAGTGTTGAGAAAACTGTTATTTTACTTCTATTTTGGTGCTGATTTTTAAAAATGGCCTTTTTTTATTAATTTCATTTTATTTTAACGGAGCATTCCCTCTTGAGCAGAGCCCACAGAACACGCAGCCATCCTTTGTGTCCCCATGGAGCTTTGTCCCTGCTGTCAGTGTTGGCACCCAGGAGCTGGCAGGGCAGGGGAGGGCAGCTGTCCCCATATCCCCGTGCCTGGGCAGTGGGGCTGGAGCTGCTGTGTCCTGGTGCTGCTGCCTGGTGGGTTTTCTGGTTGCTGTTTCTAGGCGAGGTTTGCAAAAGGTCACAAACAATTAATCTGCTAACTGGGGACCTTGGCTCTGCATGCAGTGAATGTTTTGCATTAACAACCTAACTCGTTAATTCAGTGAAACATTTAAAACCAAACCAGTTATATCCAGCCAAGCTGGAAAAAGCTGAAAGTTCATACTCAGCAGTGCAGATTTCGAAACCTCCCTTTGTTAATCTCTGTAGAAGTAAATTTTCTGCTATTGCAGAGCTCACTGTGACTGGTCTGGGCATTGTTTCCTTCAGCAGAGGCAAAGCTGCTCTGCAGAGCATTGGTTTTGTACCTGGAACTCCACCTTTCCCTCCAGCCTTCATTTCTGTGAGCATCACTGGGAAAAAAAATTGGTTTTACTCGCTTTAAGTCAGTTTTCCCTCAAATTTCCAGCAGCAGGGATGGTTTAGGTGCACTGGACATTTGACTTGCTTACTCTGCTACCTTGTTTTGAAATTAGCAGGTATAAATTCAATTGGAACCATGAATTTAGGTACAATAACTTTGTCCTCCTGACTCGAGGTAACTCTTCCATTCAGCTTTGTCTCTTTGTTCCAGTTAATAATAAAATAATACATAGGAAATAGAGTTCTTCACTCATGGCTGTGCAGATGGGTCTGAGGCATCTGCAGTGGTGATACATACACTGAGATCGATTGTAAGGATCTTTTTCAATTGATTATTTTTTCTGAGATTAATTTACCCTATCAATTAGAACACCCTCGCTTACTTTAATGAGGGAGAAATCAGAGAATTATCCATTCTGTTATATATTAGTGGTGTATTAAAGTATTAAGTGTATTCCAGAAGGTGAGCAGTGAATAAAACATACTTCCAACATGTGGTTATGCAACTGTTCCATAGAAATGAAATGGACAAACAGTACACTTGATTAATTTTTTTTTCTCCCAGTAAATTGCCACTGTGATTCACTTCCAGCTAAAATTTGCAATCTGTGTTCTCAGGTGGCATTAATATTGGAGCCCCGCAGGAGAGCTGTGGTGGCTGGGGCTGCTTTGATTGCATTTTTAAGGAAAGTTGTTGGAGAGAGCACAGAGTTTGATGCAAATGTGCTGGTAAATGAAATGCAGAGCTTTTAGGTTCTCTGTAGGTGGGTCAGGCCATTCACACTTATCCAAAATAATAGCGATGGAGTGCTCGGGAGAGGCACTTTGTTAATGTGGCACAATGGGGGTCTTTGTGTGTCGCTGTTGCTTTGTATCAAATTTACTCTGTTGACAGATAAAAATCATCTTTTTGATATCTGGAGACTCCATAACCACTGGGTCAGATCTGTCAGGGACTGGAGCTGTCTCAGTAATGGAGACTGGAGTTTGCTGGAAAGAAAAAAGGTTGCAGAGGGCCCAGCAGCTTCTCTCTGTGCTAAAGCTGCAGGATAAAATGAAATAAATATTCCCTTTTACCATTGCTTCCCTGACATAAAACTCCTCTCAGCCTTTAAAGCTGTATTTTGTAGCCTTCAGGCTGATCTTACTGCTTTTCCCCTAATTGACTCAACTTGGAAAGGTCATTGCAGCCTGCTAGACTGTGTAATATTTAACTTAGCATCAAAAATGAGCATCTCGGGATTGGTGTCAAATGGATGCTGTTCCCCTCTGAATAGCACAGCCCATTCATAGTCATCCAAATATTCCACTTGCTAATGCTAATGAATAACTCTGGCCCTCTGCAGAGGGCAGGACCAACCAGGAGAAGGTGGGATGGATGAGAGTGGCACAAAGCAGGTATTGAGATGTGCAATCCACACGCTCTAAATCCAGCTCACAGCTTTAATACCTGTTTTATTTATAGAATTTTTTTTTCAAGTTATAACTTCGAGCTCTTCACCATGCCTTAGCATAGCAAGCAGTCTTTTCTGATGCCAAGTTCAGTGATGACTAACACTGTTTACAGGACTGTTTTGTAATCTCAGATCAGCCCACATTAACGGGAAGTTACGTTTTCCCGTCAGTCTTTCAAACGGTGCCTGAGAGTTGCTGAGGCCAGAGCCAGCCATCCAGGCTCTCCCGTGTGGAAAAAATGATGTCAGCTTTCAGAACCAGCTTTTTAAAAAAATCTAATAAAGTTAGGGAGGTCATTTGAAATTGAACTTCCTCCATTTGATTTTTTTTTCTTTCTTTTGCATGAGGATCTTTCATTCCTCTGTTCTAAAAACTACCAACAAAACTAAGCACAGGAGGTATTGCATAAGCACCAACAAGGCATTTGCCTGATCTGCATTTCTCAGTGCATGAGATCAGCTCCAAATATCTGATCTGAGAAAGCTGCTGGTGCACAACTGCTGTAACTGATAGGAATTACCTCTGTGAGTCATCTCATAGGATGGTAAGTCTTTTTTTTTTTTTTTTTAAGTTCAAGTTTTTATGAGTGTTTTTATAAAGCTCAGTTGCTGTTACTGTAAATCTCAGAGAAATCTGGCACAGAGTCTTTGTAATATGAATCAGTGCGTCCATATGCTTCCAAGTGACCTTGCAGTCTGGAAAAATACCATTTTATCCCTCTGTTGAAGAGAAAAAAAAAAAAGCAGAGTTGCTGTAGAAGAGGTTGACAGAGGGGTGTCACCAGGCAGGTGACTCCTGGTGCCAGCCACAGCAGCTTTGCTGCCCTGGGGTCATGATCTCAGGCACAGAGCATTTGCTGTGCAAGTGGGAAAGCTCCATCAGGCCAGGAATAAGATTGTGGCTAATGCCTCAGCCAGCCCTGACCTTCCACAGGCTGGAGCACTTCAGGGTCTGCTGTAGCTTCAGAGGAGGAAAAAAAAATAAAGGAAAAAGTTATTGTTGGTCGGTTGGGTTTTGCTTATTTTTGTTCGGTTTTGGTTTTAAATGTAACAAATCTCTGGTTAGCCCAAGGCCAGCAAAATGGGCTTGCACTGACGAGAAATTACCCTTTGTTAGGGAATACCCCAGTACACTGGGTGGTGTGACTGCCAAAAGCTGCAGAGGTGGTGGGAGGAGAAACCTAGGAGCCAGGAACATCGTGATGCTGCTCTTGAGCTTTGGGGCCTTTACCTTGCCTTGCAGCTCCAAGTGAGGACTCACAGATGGTGTTGGAACAGGAGTGAAGTGTACACAGGATGGGAAGGGCATCTCCCAAATGCTTTGCAGGCTTGCTGAGCAAGAAGGGCTAAAATACTGCAGCCTCCTCACTCCCAGCAGCAGCTCTGGGTGTCTGCAGAGACTCTTGGCACAGGCACAGTGCTCTGAGCTGGCAAGAAACTTCCTGACAGGATGGATGGAAAATGCTGATTTTGAAAAAATTGAAATGTTCTGTGGGGAATATGTGGATTTTTCATCCTTTTTTTTTGTGATGGAAAGCAGGCATCTTTCCCAGGTGACCCTGCCTAGTGTCACCTCCTGTGTGAGGCTGAGCTGGGACCTGGGTGCACAGGGAGCCCAGGCACTGCTCTCCCTGCTGAAATACCAAGGACGGGTCTTGACAGGGTAGAATGAGAGGAAAATTCAGTGTTTTTCCTCCTTAAATGAGAATTTGATGTGGGCTGTTAAAGGGACACGTTTGTGTGTTTGGTTTGAAACATAGTTTCACAGGTTGAGGTGTGAAAATACAGTAAATCCAAGGTCAAGTTAGATTTTTCCAATGAAAGAAGAAAAATTATTTATTGAGTGAAGCAGTTAAATACCATAGCAGTTGTACTTTGTCTAATACTAAGGGAACTAACCCCTCCTCTCTCTCCTTATCCTCAGGTTCAGTGGCAAATATGAACATTTGTCAACAACTCCTTGGGATATCATGAGTTTGCTGGAATCTGGACCACAGAACACTTGCAATAGCGCTTTCTAAATTTGAATTTCATTTAAATGAAAGAAAAATAGTCCTCTGGATCAACTGCAGCGATGGCTAGCAAAAGGAAATCCACAACTCCCTGCATGATACCAGTAAAAACACTGGTGCTTCAGGAGACCGAGCAGGATGCTGGAGAAGATGATCATGAAGGAACACAACCAGAGGCTCCTGCAGAAGGACCAGCAGCGAGTGATGCTGGGGCCAGCAACAGCAACAACGGAGCTTTGTCCAACGGGCACCGCGGCATTGCCGACAGCGACACTTACATCTGCAGGCCTTGTGACTTTGGCTCTCAAGACCTTCACCAGTTCTTCGGGCACTTGGACTCTGAGCACCCAGACTTCAGCAAAGAGCCCGCGTTTGCCTGTGTTGGGTGCAGCTTCCTGGCCAACAGCCACGAAGGGCTCTCACACCACAATGCTGAGTCGCACGCCGGCGAGACCGGCTTTGTCTGGAGGGTGGTGAAGCAGGACAGTCGTACAACCGTGGAGCAAAGTCCCTGTGAGGCCACCATCAGCCATGACCTGCCAGGAGAGCTCCCTGAGGAGGGGGCAGACGGCCAGTCTGAAATTATCATTACCAAAACCCCTATCATGAAGATAATGAAGGGGAAACCCGAGGCCAAAAAAATCCACACGCTGAAGGAGAATGTGTCGAGTCAGTTGGGCGGTGAGTCCGAGGGGAAGGATGGAGAGCATTCATTCCCAAATGGGTCGGTGCCAGTCAGCCAGCCCACTGCAAGTTCATCAAAGTCATCCCACATAGTGAATGGCTCTATCATAGGAAACGTGCCTGTTCTGCAGGCGGGTGTTGCACAACTTGTGTCTCTGCAGCAGCAGCCCCCGTTGCATCAGCAGCTCCCTACATCCAAGTCCCTTCCCAAGGTGATGATCCCACTGAGCAGCATTCCCACATACAATGCTGCCATGGACTCCAACAGCTTCCTGAAAAACTCTTTCAACAAGTTCCCCTACCCCACCAAAGCTGAGCTCTGCTACTTGACCGTGGTCACCAAGTACCCAGAAGAGCAGCTGAAGATCTGGTTCACTGCCCAGAGGCTGAAGCAGGGCATTAGCTGGTCACCAGAGGAGATCGAAGATGCCAGGAAGAAGATGTTCAACACTGTTATCCAGTCTGTGCCACAACCCACCATTACAGTGCTGAATACGCCCCTGGTTGCAAATCCTGGGACTGTTCCCCATCTTATCCAGGCAACTTTACCAGGCCATGTGGTGGGGCAGCCAGAGGGGACAGGGGGGCTGCTGGTCACACAGCCCATCATGGCAAATGGGTTGAAGGGCACCAGCTCCTCTTTCACCTTGGCTGTGACTTCTGTCCCCAAGCCACAGCCGGCAGCGCAGCACAGCACCGTGAGCTCCAGCAACACATCTGGGGTCAAGGTGGTCAACAGCGGCCAGTCCCTGCTCACTGCCTGCCCTACCATCTCCTCGCAGACCTTCCTGGATCCCAATGTCTACAAAAACAAGAAGTCCCACGAGCAGCTTTCAGCCCTCAAAGGCAGCTTCTGCAGAAACCAGTTCCCTGGCCAGGCTGAGGTCGAGCGGCTGACAAAGATCACGGGCTTGTCCACCAAGGAGATCCGAAAATGGTTCAGCGACAGGAGGTACCACTACAGGAACGTGAGAGGCGGCCGGGCCGTCTTCCCTGGAGACAGTGCTCTTGATTCCCTGCCCGAAATCACCTTGGATGTCCCACCCAGAGGAGCCGAGCTGAGCCCTGCGGCGGTGGCGGCTACGCCGGCCCCTCACCACCCACCACGGCGGCAGTCATGGCACCAGGCGCCCGACTTCACCCCGACCAAGTACAAGGAGCGAGCGCCGGAGCAGCTGAAGGCCCTGGAGAGCAGTTTTGCCCAAAATCCCCTTCCTGCTGAGGAAGAGGTGAACCGCCTGAGGGGGGAGACGAAGATGACGCGGAGGGAGATCGACAGCTGGTTCTCGGAGAGGAGGAAGAAGAAGGTGGCAGAGGAGAATAAGAAAGTGGAGGAGGTGGCTCAACAGGAGGACGAGGAGGCAGAGAATGGCGGCGGGGAAGGGGAAGACTCCTCGGATGAGCAGAGGGCCACGAGTGAGAACGGCTCAGTCGACGCCTCCGGCAGCAACCCGAGCTCGGCGGACCGGAAGGTGAGTCCCATCAAAATCAACCTGAAAAACCTGCGAGTGACCGAGTCCAACGGCAAAACCGAGGTACCGGGGACCGGCGCAAATGAAAAGGGGGACGGCAGCTCCAGCCGGCCGCCCACCCCTCCCAAAACCAAACTGAACTTCAAAAAAACGGCCCAGCAGCGGCATCTGCTGAAGCAAATGTTCGTGCAGACCCAGCGCCCCACGAACCAGGAGTATGATGCCATCGTGTCCCAGACGGGCCTGCCGCGGGCCGAGGTCATTCGCTGGTTCGGGGACAGCCGCTATGGCTACAAGAACGGGCAGCTGAAGTGGTATGAGAACTACCGGCGGGGGCTCTTCCCCCCGGGGCTGGTGGAGGTCAGCCCCGCCGGCCGGGAGGTGCTCGAGGACTACTACGAGAAGCACAAGGGGCTGCGGGAGGAGGACGTGCCCGGCCTCTGCGAGCGCGCCCGCCTCGGCGCCCAGCAGCTCAAGGTGTGGTTTGCGCTGAAGGCGGAGGAGGAGGGCAGGGGCTGCGGCCCCGAGGCGGCCGGCAGCCGGAAAGGGCCGGGCGGAGCCGGCGCGGAGGCCTCGGAGAGCAGCGAGGCGTGGGAGCCGGGCGGCCAGGAGGGCAGCGCCGGGAGCCCCGACGCCCCCGGGCCGCCGCCCGCCACAGGGCTGGGTAAGGCCCCTGCCTCGGCAAGGGAGGGCTGCGGGTGGCACGGCGCTCTGGGCCTCGCGTGCTTACAAACAGGTTCGGTGAAGAGCTGAGCGTTTGAGGTTTAACTGAGGAAGTGGTGAGGAGCTGTCTCTGGAGGAGAGGCGTAAAGGAAGCGCGGTGAGGAGGGTCTGGCAGGATGAGTGCCACTCCTGCCTGCCCTTTCCTGCCTTGGACTTTGGGTGCTGGCACCACTCAGAAAACAAATCCTAGCTTTATTTCAACCTGGAGTAAAACTTTAGGAATGTCTGGTCATTTTAGAAGATGACCCATGGATTTATTTCTTTATTTGGGAAGAAAGGGGCCTGGCTGCTTGTCCTGTGCCGCTGGTTCATTCCTTTTGCCTGCCTGATCTCCAGCAGCAGACATACCCTTGCCTGCCTTTCTCTCTCCTGCTGCTGCTTTCCAGGTGTGAGAATCCTTGCTCAGTGTGGAGAAAGGCTCAGGTGGTGAAGGTGGAGGCTGCAAAGGCAGGAGGCGTCATGGAGTCTCCAGAACTCACTTTTGGAAGGCGTGTGTGTGTGCATGTGTGTGTGGTGGAGAGAAGAGGTGCTTTCCAAGCCCTCTGTGGGCTTTTCTGCAGTGCAGCTGGGGGCTGCTTCCAGCCTGGTAGGGTTTCCACCAGATGGGGATGGCAGAGTGCTGGTCCTGTCTGTCCCATGGTGGTCCACACACAGAGCTCCTTGCTGGCTAGCTGGGATCTTCTCCAGTCCCACTGCCTTACTTTGGAGCTTCCCACACACCTCTGCCATGGCTCCAGACCTAAAAAAAAAAATAGAGTAAAATTCATTGCTTCCTTTCCCATCTAATTTGGAGAAGGTGGAGCATGGGTGTGGATGGCTCCTGCCTTTGCTGTACATTGTGTGTGCTTTGCAGGAGAAGGGTGAGTATGGGGACTGGTGGGGGGCAGATTTTGTCCTGGGGAGATGGCTGTGCCCCTGCTAGTGCCCTCTAAGCACGGCTTTCTGCCAGCTAGAGTGAGGGTCCTGTCCACCCTCATGGCACAGAGGTGCTTAGCAAAGATGCATCACTCCTTAGGGATGCAAAGCCAACTCCAATCCCTCAAGGATTTTGGGTTTTCTGGCCCCTCTGAATGTTGCTAGTCCTTCTTTGCAGCTGACTCTGTCAAGGCTCCTGATCTTGCCTATCCTGAGGCACTCCTGCATCCCTTCCTCCCCACCCAGCACCCCACCTGGAGCAAGGCTAGAAGCATCTCTGACATCTGTGTTCTTTTTCAGAAACAGACTGAACTGAAGCCACCAGCCCCGGAGGATCCACTCTTACCCTTGAGAAGAAATTAGTGATCTTTAAGAAACCCATGGGCCGGCCTGACCCCAGCCTGAGGAGCAGGACGTGGTGATGAAGCACTGCCATCCATGAGACCTTTGGGCACAGCACATGAGACAGCATGTGCACAAACTGGGCACTCTGTGCTGAGCTCTTGGTGGCCCAGCCAAGGAGATGGCTGGGAGCTGGCAGGGGCTCAGCTCACACCCAGGAAATAGGATGCTCCTGTTTGCTTTCCAGTGACAGACTTTCAGATTTCATATTCATATACCGATGCCTACAGCTGCCTATACAAGCATAACAAATCTCAGACATTGTGTAAACAAGGTCATTGCTTAGATATGGACTATCATGGCATAGTACTTGTTTCTTTTTTCTTTTTTTGGTTTTTTTTTTTTTCATCTGTCCATTAAGGTGTTTGTTCTCTAAAGGTTGGCATGGCTGCATATATCCTTTCTGGTCCTTAAGCCCTGGCAGTGAAGGGCTTTGTGGGCACACAGGTGTGAGTGTATTAGGAAAGGGAAGGGATTTGAGAAGAAAACTGCCAATCTTGAATTTGAGTGAGATTCTCATCCCTCCAGATGAGGTTAGAGTGAGCATTGCATACTCTCTGATAAGCAGCAGGTTCCCAGACTGAGGCAGCCCAGGAGATGGAGTTTGGTGTCATTTGTCCCTTGCTGGCTGGAACACTTTCCCCTGTGCTCTTGGAGACTGACTGTAACAGGCTGTTAAATCTCCAAGTCTCTCTTTAATATCTGAGAACTAGCACATAATAATTTTTGCATCCTGACCTGGAATCCTTTTCATTGTTTGGAGAGAACAGTCTGTTCTTCAGAGAACAAACGCAGAGAGTCACAGCGTGGCTGTGAGTGGTTCAAGTCATTGTTGTCACCAAGGCAGCGGCTCTGCTGCCACCAGGAAGTTTCCTTCTTGCAACCCTACATGGCAGATCCTCCTGCAGCACTGCTGGTGATTTCAAGTGTTTGTTCCAGTCCTTTTTGTTTTTCTTTTCTTATTTTTTCCCCCTTTTTTTTTCCCCAGGCCATGTGCAATAGTTCTGGAAAAAGAGCAAAATAAATTCCCCAGTTATCCAGTCTGCTGCCTGGTACCTGTACATTTTTAATGTGTGTTGTCTTGTGTGGTTGCTGTGTGATGCAACTGCTTGAACATTTTTGCTTTAAATATTCTTTTCTAATAGAAAACAAAGTCTAGAAGGGAAACTCTTGAGCTGAATAAGTCCAGCCAAATGCTGTGTCAGATCATTCTGTCACAAACTAATCAAATCCCAACTCCAAATTGGTTCCATGTTTTGCCTTCACTTTTGCTCTTGGAAGGCTAGTCCAGAAATTGACTGCCTTTGAGTGGTTAGAAACTGTATTTAAATTTCTAGTTTGAATTAATTTGTGGCTGGTACATTCCTGGTTTGTTTTGGAGCCAACATTGTCCTTTAACTTAAATAGTTTTTGGTGTTTATCTGCTGATGTATTTATGGAGAGTAGTCATAGCTCCCTATTTTTTGCCAAGCCAACTCAGCCAAGCTTTTTCAGCAGAAGGTTTTTATTTAGTGAGAGCTTTTTAATGTGGGAGACTTTATTGTTGGTGGTAAATGATATTTATTAGGAGGGTGGGTAGCAAACCTCAAAGGATCGGATCCAGAGATTTACAAAAAAACTGTTTTAATAACAAAAAAGCTCTTTCAGAACCTCTTCCAAAGATGGTGTCTGATTTCTACCTTTAATTGCCCTTGCTTTTGCAATTCTTTCTTCACCCCCTCTTCAAGAGGCCGCCTTGCTCAGCTGCAGGAAGGGGCTGTGGCTCTCAGTGCTTTGGCAGAGGCTTCCCCTCACCTGGTGGGATGTGCTGGGTGCTTGTGCCCGAGCTCACAGGGCTTCCCTGGTCTGAGACTGTGGCCAAGTGTGACCATCTGCTCCAGACAGAGGTGCCCTCACCCCACAGAGAGTGGGGTGACACCTTGGATGTGGCCACTGGCCCTGTGCATCCCACAGCCAGAGCAGCCACCCCACCACGCTGTGAGCAGGGGTGGCACTGACCTGGGGCAGCCTGTGTGGCACCAGGCTCCCTTAATTTGCCTTTGGGAGCACTGCTGATGGTCATGGCACAGTTGGAGGCATGACCAGCAGCCATCCCACCTTGGCTGGTGATGGCTCAGCTGCTGGCATCCCCGTGGGTCCATCTTTGGGGACCAGGGACAGCTGCCCTGTGGTGACAACCCCTGGGGTTCACCCTCATGGGTGCAATCCTGTGTACCCCAAAATATCAGAGAGGGTGGCAGAATCTGGGTGGTTCTAGAGCTGAGAGCAGATCTGGGAGTTGTGCAGCCTGAGGATATGGATGTATGTACAGTGTCACCTTCAGAGAACAAATACAGGTAGGTCAATTTACTCTGTAGTGTCTGTGTACATGCAGGTTTATTTAACTACACATATATACAGTTCAAATATGCCATTGATTCTTTATTGCATTATGATGTACATTAAAAATGTACACTTTTACTAACTACTTGCTATATAAATACGTTGGAAGTGTAGTTTGCCCATTCAAGGTGATTTTCTGTGGGATTTTTGGTGTACACTTAAGGGCCTATGGCTGATTGGAAGAGTGATCCCCACTCCACCTACAGGAATGCTTAAGGACTATGGTATGAACTGGTCCCTTCAAACCATGTTTTGATGCACTAGCTGAAATATTTTGCACTTGGATTGTATTCAACCAGTTTTCCAGAAAAATTGAAAAGAAGTCTTGTGAGCTAGAGGGAGAATTTCCCGGTGTACACAGAAAAACCAGCCTTGAGGGTTGGAAGCTGCTGAGGTTTTTGAGCTTTGTCTCCATGCATTCATACAAGCACAGCAGGAGTTTTCTTTCTTTTGGGTCGGAGGAATTTTAAAAAGTGGTTCCATGCAGACTCCCCTCGGACATGGCAACGGGGCTGGCAAATGCCTTTGCGTGGGGAGGGTAAGGTTTAGAGACAAAAAAGAAATCAAAACATGATAGAGTTCCCTTTCTAACTCCTACATTCCTTGTTATCTGCATTTTTTTAGTTGACTTGAAATCTCCATAAAAGTATAAGCTGAAGATTTTTGAGGGTTTAGCTCTGTGGTCTTCTGTTTCTCTGCTGAGGAGGAGAAACAGGTGCCATCTCCAAACAGACTCGGTTTTGGTGCAGGACATTGGAAAAGTGTTTGCATCTGAAACTGAAAAGAAAAATTGAGAGGTGGCTTGACAGTCCCAACAGCAGCTCTTGTGGTGTTAAGAGGAAGTGTCACCACAATTCTTCAGTGTGTGAATATTTATCATCATCTAATCAAAGATGACTATCTTGACTTGAAAGGGGTGTAAGATCGAGGTGATGTAGCCAGCATCAGTAAGGAAGGGAAATGAAATTCTCCACCTCCATCGGCTGTGCCTGAGCTTGGGCTTGGCAGGCACAGCAGAAACCATCAATTTTAATCCATGTGAATCTTGTTACTTATGTCTCTGAGGCTGCTTAGATTAAGGGCACAATCCAATTGCTTAATAACCCGAAACCCTGATTTGTTCTGGCCCTGGCTTGCTCATGGGAAGGGCTGCTGGTTCTCCTGGTGCAAGGAACTGAGTTTCTTTATTCATTGATGTCAGCAGCCCCTGCCATGAGATTTCTAGACATTGTTCCATGTTTCATTTGGGTACCTTATTTTTCAGCTCTGTAATTAGCATCCTTGAATTTTTTTTTCTTTTTTTTTAGCAGAACACTAAACAAACAATGATCTACAGCTTCCTATCTCCACTTTCCTGAGAGCTGAGTGATGCTGCAGTGTGGTGGGAGGATGGGCACAGGTGCTTGCAGGTACTTACTGTGATTTCATGTCCCCTCCCTGAGTTGGTCACCAGGAGAAGCCACCAGCAAGAGCAGTAGCTGCTGGCAGAGAAACACTGTAGTCCTTAATCTGGTTGGAGGATGCTCACCAGAGCTGGAAGATACCTGCTAGGTTAATTTTTGTTGTGTATCCCCTGACAGCTCAAGAGAAGGAAGCTGTAGTAGGCTGGTTTTTCATTTAGGGTTTGGGTATTTAATTTTTTTTAATTGGAAAGCAACAGATTTTGGTCACCTGCAGAAGTGTTATATTGTTTTCCCTGCAGCCCCTCTCTTACAGATATAATAGAGGCAAACTGATCAGAAGCTTGCTCATTGGGAATCAAAAGAAAAAGATGATTTTCAGCACTTGGGCACAAATTACAAAGTGAATGGGATGCTACACATTCCCATTAGGGTGATGGCATACAAAATGCTTGTAAAAGTCTTCTCCCTGTTGCCCAGATCATTTTGGTTTTGCTCTCTTCAGATCAGTCAAGGTCCTGATGTGATTCAGCTCACCTGTAAAGCTCTGGTGTCACTTCTCAGCTGATCCCAAAACCAGCAGGGTGAGATTAGGCAACACATGGAGGGGAACGAGGCACTTGCAGGCTATCCCTGTTCTTCTTTTAACTGAGAAATTTAGTTTCTGCTGTATGTTTACTGGTAGTGGTGTGTGCCAGGAATGTTGGATTGGCATCAGAAAACTAAAGCAGAGCAAGGGAGCTCTGTTATGTAAGCAGTGAATTTTTTTTTTTTTAATTTTGGGTTTTCTTGTTATGGCCCAAGTGCTCTGCTGGCTGACGTTTGGCATATTCTGATGGCACAATTAGAGCCCCATTTTCCCTGTACTGATGGAAGGTGGTGTTAGGAGGATTCTTGCTTACTGGTGCTAGTGAAGGTTGGGCTAGGAATCCATGGCATAGAAAATTTCTAGCTAAAATTGCACTTTCTCTCTGCCCCATCTGGCTCGTGGTGGTGTTATGGGTACGTGGCTGTGATTCCCCTTGCACATACTAACATTGCACTAAAAGAGAGACTTTGGGAACAGCGTGTTGATCACTTTGTTTCTCAGCAGACCACAAAGTCAGCCTAACGGGGTCTCTTTTTTTTTTTTTTTTTTTTAATTATTGTTATTTAGAAATCATGCTGGTGCTGAATGACCTGGAATTTTTGCTTGGATTTATCCAAAGGAAAATGTAACTGTAGCTGCAACGGGACCTTTCATAAGGGTGGCCGGTGCAGTGAGGGAGCAGGGTGAGAGCTCTGCTGTGTAAAGCTGTCTTTGTACCAGGGAGCTGTGGGGGGTTCCAGGGGGGTTGTTATTTTGTTGTTTTGTTTTTTTTTTTTTTCCAAGACCACAATTTTCAATGGTCACCTTGGCAATCGTGTGAAACAGGAAATAGTTTTTACTTTTGGTAAAGGTTTTAAAGAGGAAACAAAAAAAGAAGCTGCCTGTGATTGTGGGCTGTAGCTATTACTAGGGCTAGGGTAGCTTGTACGTGCTATGGACTTTACCTGCTCTTATTCTGAGGGCAAGAACTCCCTGTAGCAACAATGCCACTTCTGAGAAGTGAACGGCAAGTTTCCCTTCCTTTTGTATATGTGGATGTGAGGGTGGGCAAGGGGAAGAGCTTGCTTGTACAGTTTGTTGAAATGAAACCAGACATTTTTGGTTGTTCCTAAATAAAGAGCGTAAAAATCAAATGTGAGTTGAGTGGTGCTTGCAGTGGGATTTGGGAGGGCCCAGGAATGTGCCTGCCTTTCAGCTGCTGGACTGGGAGTCCTCCATCACAACCTCCTCATTTCTTTTAAAAGAACAACAACTTTTCCACGGGGTAAGGCCATGAGTGAGTGCCCAGACACCTCTGCCCTAGAGGTGCTTCTTCATGCCAGAGTTCTGTCCCCAGCCTGCCTCAGAACAGCATGGACAGCTGGGGCACATAACTTGTTTTACCCTTTTGAGTGAACAGCATAAAACCTGGGGCTGTTTATAGTTATTTTTCCTCCCCTAAAACCAGGAGAAAGGAGGGAGCAGTGCAGCCTCTCCTCAGGAACCTCAGCTCTGCAGGGCACAGACCACCAGACACCCAAGCCAGCACACACCTAATACTGACACTTTTATTGTCATTTAAAGCTAGAGTGGCCCTGTAAATGTAGAGTTTCACTACTGGACCCTTCGGCAGTGGCTATACAGGGCAGATGTGGTGTCACCAGGACAGACAGAGGTGCTGCTGTGCTCACTGCAGGCCCAGAGCTCTGGGAATGGACACAGCACAGGATGGCTGCAAACAGGCTCCCGCAGCTGCACACGATCTCTGGATTACAGGCAGAGCAGGTACGCAGAGGCTGGATGGGGAATTTTTAGGTCTCTTCTTGTGATTATAGACAGTTTGGTCTGTGGCCTCTGGCAGCCTGGCCGCACCGACGCTTCTTAAGGGCTTCGTGGTGAAGGTTGCTGGGTGCTTGGGGCTGGTTCGGGGTGGGGTTTATTTCCAATACTTTTTTTTTTTTTTTAGTTCTCCACTTGAACACACTTCAGCAGAGAAACTGGAAAAGCTGCCTGAAAGTAGGCCATAGCAGTGCCGTTTCCATAGAAACCAGTTCACAGCGTGCTGTGAGATTCACAAGCACTGGAGGTGCTTTCGCCCGCCAGGGTGGGCTACAGCCGGTTGTCCCCGTTGACCCGGGTCCTCCGCAGTACCCTGCAAAGGGGCACACACAGGGGACACAGCTCAGCCTCGCCGTGGCATGGCCAAGGACAACGCTCTGCTGGGCTCCAGTTGCCCACTGGAGTAAAGCAGGAGCTCAGCCACATCTCCCACGATTGGGGATAATGGCAGCAGCTGTGCTGTCCCACCCTACTCCCATAGCAGTGACTGCCACTAGCACTGGCACAACTTGCAGCTCAAATTTAGGGTTTGCAAGCAGCCAACAAGGCTGCAGCTCCACTTTGGGCTAGGGGGATAATGGCACCAGAGGTGGTGTCTCACCCTTCTCCCATGGCAAACTGCCACAACTTGTAGCTCAAATTTAGGGTTTGCAAGCAGCCAACAAGGCAGCAGCTCCACTTTGGGCTAGGGGGAGGCTGCATTCATTGCCTCCAGCCAGACTAAATGCAGGGGGTGTGTTATGCTGCTGCTGAAGAGCTGACTGAGCACTGGCCTCACCTTCGCTCCCGGCTCTCAAAGTGGTCAGCGAGCTGCTCTGGGGCCACACGGAAATCCTCGAAGGGCTGCTGGTACCTCAGCTCAAAGGAGCCCTCTCTGCCTCTGCTTGCCAGCAGCTGGCTGGAGCCATCCCCTGCTCGTTCCCGTAGGGATGAGGCATTGAAGAGGTTTATTTCGCCATTTTCCTGCTTGGATGACGGAAAAAAATGCTGTAGTCAAGGGTTTGTGATTTCAAAGCATACACCCTGTAGTAAGGGCAGTCTGGTGCAGGGCTCTGGCTGCCCTGCAGGGTGTCCAGGGCTCATGGGGGCTTGGGGTTTGCACTGTGCAGCTGCTCTAACAGCCATCGCTGGCTCCCACCAGCACCATTTTAAATGAAGAAATAAAAGAACCATCTGTCTCAGAAGGAGCCCTGCCCTCTGTTTATGCCAACAGGGACAGCCCCAGGCCAGCCAGCTCTGTGATCCTGAGCTGCAATGTCCCTGGAGCACAGACAGGCACTGTGACAAATCCGCCTTCTCCAGCTTTTGCTGAAGGGATTTCCAGGCAAGTCAAACCCAGTGCAGGCAGGACCCTGCCTGAAACACCCTGACTGCTGCAGGAGGCAAACCCTGTGTGCTTGCTGTCCCTGCTGGGCATCCCTAAGGAGCAGCACTGGGAATTCAGCCATGCACAGGCACTCAGGCCAGGCAGCACTGAGCCTCACTGCCCCAGCTGAGCAGGAGAATGGGCAGGGCCAGGCTGGGCTCACTGGCTCTGCTCCTCAGCCCTACAGCATGGTCACCACCTTCTTGTGTGTGCAGCGAGCCTCACCTTGCAAGGGAAAATGTCTATCTTGACAAGCAGAGAAGCCAGCTCCAGGTTCTCACTGTAGTTGTTCTTGAGGGGAACAGCTCGGAAACCTACGGCAGAGACAGCCCTGGTGTCACTCACTGCACAGCAGGGGAGGTGGCAGTGCCCTGGCACAGGACTCAAGGGGGTTTTTCTCTCACAAGACCCTTTTTCTCTTCTGCCAAGAGAAGCTGTGGCTGCCCCATCCCTGGAAATGTCCAAGGTCAGGGTGAATGGGGCTTGGAGGAGCCTGGGGTAGTGGAAGGTGTCCCTGCCCATGGCAGTGGGGCTGAAACTAGATGGCCTTTAGGGTCCCTTCTAATCCAAACCAATTCCAATCCATTCAGTCTACAATTCTGTGATTCTCCAAACCCCCAAATTTCCCTCAAAGTGGCAGGTGGCCCCAAGGGCTGTTAGCAATTGGCTCTGCCTTCTGTAACTGGTTGGGGATGTGACCTGTCATGGGGACAGGCTAAGCCAGCCCAACAACACCCTCCCATGAAAATCAGCATCTCCCTGGCTAACAGTGTGAACTGGTGAGGAGCACCATGACACCCTCCCTGCTATCCCAAGTGCCTCACCTGTCTTCAAGCCTTTCACCAGGAAGGTGGCCTGAGCCAGGAAGTTCTCATCGCTGAACATGTCCTCCTCGTAGACCACGAAGCGCAGGAAGGCAAAGTCAGGGTTGCTGACCTGAAAGTGGAACTGCTTCGGGGTCCAGAGAGGGTTCAGGCCGTTGTCAGCTGCTCACAAAACACAGCTGTCAGTGGGCAGCCCCACTGAGTCCTTCCACTGCCCCCATGGCTGATGCTGGGCTCAGGGGCAGCACGAGGGCAGCTCCCAGCTCAGTGCCAGGCCTTGCTGCAGAGCCCAGGGCTCACACCAGCATCAGGAGTGCTCTGATGCTGGTGTGAGCCATGGCTCATCCCCTCCCTTCCCCACCCCACTCACCCACGATCTCTGTTTTCTGCTTGGCATTGTCGTACTCAGCACCAGACACCTCCACCTCCACGAAAGGACAAACGATTCCCCTTCCATTTTTGGGAAGGTGCCGTGCCCCCAGGACCTGAGCAGAGAGCAGGAGAGGCTTGGTAAGAGACAGGAACAAAGGGGAAAAAATGTGTTTGCATACCAGGACATTTTCTTCCCAAATAAATCACCCTGGCTCTGCTAATTGGAGAGAGAAGCAGCACTGACAGCCAGCCCAGCCGGCAGCTCAGAGAGAAATAGCTCCCACCCCTGGAACCTGCTATAGTGTTCTTGATCCACAGTTTGACTTGTAAGCCACAAAAAACCCCAGATGAACTGCTCCAGGTTCCTGCCTGCTCCCAGCACAGCCTGGGCCACAGCATCCCTCCCTCAGCTGGCCAAGCTGGAGCTGGGCTCCCACTGAGCCCTGTTCCCTGCTGGGAGCACCAGGCTGGACCCCCTCATCTTTGCTAAAACTTCTCAGCCCTCCTGCCTTGGTGTGAGGAGGAAAAGGAGCTGCTCTCCAGCCCTGCCCTGCCTCGTGCCTGCAGCACAGGCTGTGCTCCACACTCAGATGCCAAGCTGCCTCCTCGCAGGAGAGAGCCATGGCAGCTCCCCCTTGCCCGTGGCCATATGTCGCTGCAGCACGCTGCTGCTGCAGGGGAAGGACCTGCTGCCAACTCTGGATCATGTGCTTTGAGTCATGCTGGGCTCGAGATGGCTTCTCCATCCATGAAAGCTGGCTTTGGTGGGGACAGCAGGCAGCTCTGCCAGACAATGAGAGGCTGAGCCCGTCTCTTAAAGGCGACAGTGACTGGCTATGGCACAATGACTCTTGACACTTGGTGGGGGCAGCTGCACCCTGAGGTGCAGGAAGAGCTTGAAAAACAGAATGGGGCAGGGATGTTGTCATCTTATTGCAGGGGTTCCACACTGTTGTCTCCTTATCACAAAAGTTCCAAACCTTCCTGGTGTTTCTTGTGGGCAGCTCCTCAGAGCACTGACTCTTTCCTCTTCACAAAGCAGCCACTGACTCCAATTCCCTTCTCACCCAGCCACTCCACTCTTTTATAGCTCTCTTCTTCTCATTGGTTACACCTGTGGCCTGTTAAAGTCAGCCCTGTTCCTAATCTTTGATAATTGTCCCAGCTGCAACTCCTTAGGGGTAAGATTACTTTCTACACTATCTTTATTTGCTTATATTCTATCCCCCTACACAGGGAATTTTTAGGGAGACAGTGGGCATGGGGTCAGTGGTGCAGAGGGTACATGATAGAGAGTCCTCATGGAGAAGGGCTGTGGCTTTTTTAGGTGGGATCACTCCAAAACAGAGGTGGCCACAGAGGAAACCTGTGAGCACCTGAAGGCAGGATCTCCACTGCATCTTCCCCAAGGTCTACACGAGCTGAGGGGACTGGCAAAGCAGACTGTTGACCCATAGCTTGGTTCTGAGACCACAGGGAATGCCTGCACAGGTTGCTGGACCCTGCTGCTCCAAACATGAGAGCCAGCTGGTTTGGCACAGCCCTCCAGAGCTTTGCCTGGCGAGCTCTCCCATGTCCCTGCAGAGCCTCTGCTGTGCAGCTCTGAGAGCTGACACAGGAACAATCCAGCCTCAGCTGCACCATTAGGGAAGTAAAAAAACCTCATCAAGCATCCACACTCCATCCTTTGGCACCCTCCTCTTATCATCGCCGGCAGCACAACACAGAAATGGCCTGAGAAGTTTGCCCTGACCTCAAGCATCTTCCCAAGAGGGGCCATGAGAAAGGCGAAATGGAAACATCGAGCCTGGAGCAACTGAGTGACAAGGAGGGGACAAGACACAGCTCTTGTGTTGCTGGCCTGTGGATGCAGTCTGGGGACAGGGATGTCACCTCTGATGTCACCTCTGCGGCTCGTGGATGCCACCTGCTGGCACGGGGACCTGCACAGGAGGAGTCCTGGGGGAGCATCCCGGGACGCTCCTGCTGCTCCTCTCCAGGCACCCTCAGCAGCAAGGGGCCTTTAGGGTCCCTTCTAATCCAAACCAGTCCACGATTTTGTGATGCTCCAAAGCCCCAGATTTCCCTCCAAGTGGCAGCCCTTCCCAGGGGACAGCGAGGGCTCTCCCAGTCTGTGCTGCAGGACAGGGGCTTGGTGAGGAGCAGCTGCAGGCAGAGCCAGGAGCCCAAAAACCCATTCTCTCCCCCCAAATCTGGTACCCCACTGAGGTCTGAGCCCGCATTCCCCCACACCAGGAGGAGGTACTGACCTCAATGGAGATGGAGAGTGGTTCTGTGCCCCGCAGTGTGCTCTTGTCAAAGGGGTCAAAGATGTCGTCCCTCATGTTGGTTGGCTGCAGGACGTACCCACACTGGCCACTGGACATGAACAAGGCCTGGTTCATCTGCATGGGCTTGTCTAGAGCACAGGCAGGAGAGACAGGAGATGAAGGATACCCTGTGCACAAGCTGGATCATCACCCCCATCACTGATGTGTCCCAGGAAGCCCTTGGCAAGAGGACCTGGCTCACCCCTTGGCAATGCTGAGCAATGTGTCCCCACGTGTCAGGGCCATGAGGTGACTGCCATGCATGATCTGCCCAACTACCCAGTGCTCCATGGGTCACCTCCCTCTTTTCCTTCTATTTTCAGCCTTCCATGTGCTGCCTGTAGCATTTGCCAACCCCCCTGTGAGATGCCTGAATTCACAGAAGGAATGAAAAGGCAGCAGGAAAGAAGAGGCAGGTTGTTTGCTGGTGTGCTGGTGAGCTGAGCAGGCTCACAGCAGGGTTTGGCAAAGGCCAGGGACAGGAAGGCTGGACTGCACGGCAGGAGCAGGAATGGAAGCTGGGCAAAGGCAAGAAGAGCAGCCAGCTGGACCCAGACCATGCACCCAGCTGGTGTCCCAAGCCTGGGGCAGCACCATCCCCTTTGGCACCTGCCCTGCCTGCACTGCTTGTCACCAGGGACCTGGGAGAACCCATCCCCTGCCTCCTCTCCATTCCATCTTACTCTCATCATGGCACAATCCCCAACCTCAGTGCAGCTCCTTAGCTCAATCCAGCCCTCTGGAGCTGGGTCTCACTGCCTGCAGAGCCCTTCCAAGACCTTCCCAGTCCCCCATTTTCCAGGAGCAGGGCTCAGCAGGTGGCTTTGAGGTGGCACAGGGCACCCCAGGCGCCAGCCCACCCTGCCTGCTGCCCTCACCCGGGGTCTGGAAGTTGAGTGCCACCAGCTGGCTGCCACAGATCCACATGGGCAGGGGGTCGTAGTTGGAGGAGTCGAGGCGCTGGCCCTTGGGGTAGATGCGGGACAGCTGCAGGCGGTTGTACTGCAGGAACTTCTTGCCCTTGATCTTGTTCACGTACTTCTCTGCCTTGGTCTCGGGAAAGGAGGACATGTCCCGGTAACAGGCCCTCTCTGTGCCGATCTCTGCCAGGGGACAGTGCTGTGTGAGCCAGGGGCACACTCCCTTTGCTGACACTCAACCAGCCCAGCTCCTTGCTGATGCCATCCTCTCACCCCTGGGGCAGCCACCAGCGAGTGTCCCACACCCCAGTGGGTGTGTGCCAGGTGCCCAACACCAATGACAGAGCACCAACACAGCTCCCACTGGCCAGGCACGATGCTCCCCAGCCCCACTCCCTCAGCAGCTGCTATGCACGCTGACAGACCCCAGGAACAGAGGGACAGGAAAGGGAACTGGTACCCTCTGGAGCTACCCAGAGCTCCAAGGTGAACTGGGGATTTGGACACCTAGCCTCTGCTGAGATCTAGCCAAAGCAGCCCCTTGGGGCACAGCACAGGGTCTGTAATGCCACTGTGAATGCCTGTGAGGGCCACCAGCTCAGCAGATGCTCACTCTCTTCATCAAAAGGCACAGGACGGCAATAGACCACCAGTTCTGAAAGCTCCAGGGCAATCTTCTTTCTCCTCTCCATCATCTTCCCTTCAGAGAGCTGCCAAGAAAGGGTGAGAGAGGGGTCAGGCCAGGTAGGAGCAGTGGTGATGGATGACCCAGCTCACAAACTGACCCTCACTGCTTGGTGTGGCTCCTGCCCACACTGTGGGGACCACCAGTAGATCTGCCAGGTCTGCATGGGGGACATCACACAGGCAGGGCCTGGCTAGGTCCTACATCCTGCCCAGAGCAGGACTGGCACTGGTCCCAGCACAGGGCATCTGTGGCCTTGCCACCCTTCACTGATGGAGACCCCCCACTTCCTGAGGCTGTAGCACTCACCCAGTTGTCCAATTGTCCCAAATACCCACCCTGAACCTCTCAAGCCACCACCCCTTGCCACATTGTCCACGATTGCTCTGGCTTTATCACCTCTGCAACTGCTCTGCCAGCCCACCCCTCACCAGCTCCTCAGTCCCGGAAAACCCAGCAGCTGGAGAGCCAGCAGATGCCTCCTGCCCTGCCAGGGGCTCCCCAGCCTCACCCTGGCATCAGCTGTCTGAGCTGCCTCGCGGATCTTCTTCACCCAGTCGAGCAGGTCCTCGTGCGTGTCGGCCGCCACGTCCAGGGACAGCCGTGACAGCGAGGACATGCTGATGGAGAACACGAACAGCCGGTTGTTCTTGCCCTCGGGGCGGATGGCTGTGAGGGACAGGGGACAGCATCACTGCAGGTGCTGAGCCAAGCCCTCCACAGGCAGCAAGGGAGAAGACAGGCACAGGGACTCGTGGCCACCCCAGCACTCGACAGCTACAGGGAACTCCCATTTCTGGAGGCAACAGATGGAGCCCAGGCAGCAATAAGTGAGGGCTGAGAAGCCTCAAGAAGCCTTTGCAATGCTCCCTCCCTGGCACTCACCGATCTGGCAGGAGGGCACGTCCAGGACGCCTCCAAGCAGGTCTCCCAGGGGGCTGTTCTCATCCAGCTGCTGCTGGGAAGGAAGCACAGCAGGATGGTGCTGGGCACAGAGGGCAGGGCAGCCCCGCTCAGAGGGGGCACAAACCCTCCTTGCTGCACTCATGGCCACACTCACCTCCCGCTCTGGCTCCAGGCTGGTGGGACTTGTAATTTCCTCCACGTAGTTGGAAGGGAACCACAGCTGCTTTTTGCCACCATAATCTCCTCTCCACCTGGAAGGGAGGGAAGGGGCAATGTCAGCACTGGACATGAGACCCCAGAGTATTCTGAGTGGGGGTGAGGGGAACAGGCAGCTCTTCCATCATCTGCTTTTAGGGTTTGTGAGGCTTTGGAACTCTGCTGCTCATGGGTAATCCCCAGACAGACCCACTCCTACAGTGAGCACACCTTTGTGTGGATGGTGACAGCAAGGTTTGACCATATATCCCCATGGGAAAGGGAGGCTCAGGACCAACTCACCAGCCTCCTTCCTGTTTCTCCACATTCTGGATGATGGCATTTTTGGTGAAGGTGAGCTCGTCCTCCCTCTGTGCCTTGTAGTCAAACAGGGCTTTGACTGCACACTGCAATGAGGAGGGGTCCCATGAGGCTGGCAGGGAATGGACACGTGGACAAGGAGCCCTCAGCATGAGAGATCACCTCCCACCACAGATGTGTTTGTTGGGGGGCTGTGAGTCCCATCACGTGCAGGCAGGCAGCATCCAGCCCTGCTGCCAGACCTAGTGACACCCTGCAGAGCAAATCAAGGCCCCCATTTATGCCAAAGCAGAGCTCTCAAGTCTGGTATGGCCCCACACAGGCACTCTCCTCTGTCCCAAGAGCCACTGAGGGGCTTGGTTTGGAGAGCTCAGAACAAGAGGCAGCCCAGCCTGGGAACTGGAGGTTCAACCTCCACTGTCTCTCTCTTCATGGTTTAGAAACAGGTGTGCAAACTAATACAGCTCTTAGAAAATGAAAAGATCCTTGCTAAACCCTCCAGCCCTGCAGTTTGTTTTGTGCCAAACAGTGAGAGTGTACCTTGAAGGTGGGCATGGGGTTGGCTTCCACATAGAACCCAGGATGGCGTCCCTCATACAGGGCTCCATAGTCTGGCTCCTGTGGAAGCAAAGGGACAGTGGTTACAGCAGTGAGTACAGGGGAAAAGGCTCCCTACCTTGGGGTAGGTGGGACAGTGCCCCAGGAAGGCACAAGACCAAAGATGATGCTGCAGACAGCCCAGGCTCAGAGGGGCAGCACCAAACTCCACTCAAGTGTCAGGAAATCCCACGAGGTGTGGGCTGCAAAGCACAGAGAGGGCTCACCCACCACCACCTCAAAAAGGACCTGTCCATGATTCTCTGGCTCCTGCACTCACCGCTGTGCCGATCTTCTCCAGGGTCTCCTCGTTGATGGGGTAGCGCAGCTTCATCTTGCGGTACAGTGGGTGCTTCTCGTAGTAGCTGATCAGGTCCACCAGGCTCTCGAACTCGGAGTTGCCCAGCAGCACAGTCTGCCCCTCCTGCTGCACCCGGCAGTGCTTGATCTTCCCTTCTGCCCTGCAGGGAGGAAACACAGGGAGAGGCCTCTTGGCACCTGGCAAGAGAAGGTCTCTGCCAAAATAGAGACACCAAGGAAAAGGCGTCCCTGGTGAGGCGGCCGAGCACAGTCATCCCCCATTGGAAGATGGGAGGAAGAGCAGGATCTCAAGGACTTATTCAAGGGCCATCCCAGAGCAACAGGAGTTCTGGGAGGGCTCAAGGCTGGCTGATGGCAGCTGTCCTGCTCTCTCACACACTGCAGCATCCCACCTCCAGCACCCACCACCCTTGTGGCAGGGACACACCTGAAGGAGATGGCATAGGAGCTGGGCTCGCTCCTCTTGCGCACCAGGAAGGCTCCATCACGGGGCACCCTCATCAGCATGTGCTCAGCTTGGGCTCGTGTGAGGTTGGCATGGTACCACCTGGCAGGAGAGACATTGCTGTGCACAGGTCACACACACAAAGCCCATCCCACACCCCAGCCCCTAAAAGGCTCCTTGAATCCTCCAGAGGAAGACAGGGACTGCAGTGGGGCAGGAAGGATCAGAGCCTTTGGTGAGGCATGGCACAGGGCATCCCAACCAAACCCAGCAGCTCTGTGCCCTGCACTGAGCCTCCACGACACTCAGCTCCATGAACAACAAAGCTGGCCAGCATGGCTGCTGTGACAGAGCTCCATGGGGAGAAAGTGGGGACCAGAAAACTCCAGCAAGGGAGGAATGGCTGAGGAGAGATCTGGGAGAGCTTCCTCAGCGTCCAACTGCCCAATGGACACACACGTGCACTCACTCTTTGCTCTCGTGGGCATTGGTCTGCGGCACTGGCTCTGTCAGCCTCATCTCAAACTCGTTGCACCTCAGTGGCACCTCCTGGTAGTGGGTGATGAGGTCGTAGAGGCTGTCAAACACCAGGTTGTCCGTCAGGAAGAACTTGGGGCTGCCGGCGTCCTGCCGCGAGTGGATCCGGCAGTGCTGCACCTTCCCGTTGCGCCTGTGGGACAGGGAGGGAGGGACAGGGTAAGCCAGCCTTGATTTTTGCACCTCAGCTCCAGCCTGACATGGCATTCCTGCCACACTGGAGAGTGACTGCATAAGAGACTTGACCCTCCTGCACTGGGACAGGGAGCAGACATGATGCTGGGCACAGGAACAGGGGAGAGACCGCTCACAGGCCAGCCAGCAAGGGGACCCCACCACTGAAGGACATGCCAAGAGAAAACAACCCCAGATCGACACAGAGCAGTGGGGCCCTCACCAGAAGGAGAGGGTGTAGTCCCCCACGAAGGTCTCGCTCTCCCTGACCAGGAAGGAGCCATCAGGGGCCCCTGTCTCAATGCAGTATTCCGTCAGCAGCCGCTCCGCGATGTGCCGCCCGTCACGGCCCGCTCCCAGCTTCCCGTGGAACCACTTCTCCGTGGAGTGCAGCTCCGTGCTGTTGCTCACCTGGCAGGGGGAAAAAAAGCCATCACCTTGGGCCACTGAGGGCAGGCTCGTGGTGCTGGATTCTGCTCTGCTCAGGGGTCTTCCAGCTAGGAGCAGGGAGCTCCTGAAGCAGCTACCATCCTCCCCCCTCAAGTCAGCTGGCAATGGCAATGCTCAGCCCCTTGGGCAGTCAAGTCCTTTCCTTAGGGGACAACTCACAGTCTCACAGGAGAGCCCTCACCTCCTTCTGCTCTTCCTCATCCTCGTTTCCTTGGTCACTGGTTGTCTCCCCAGAGTAATAGATCTTGCTGCTGGTCAGCACAAAGTAATGCGGGTTCCACTCCTGCAAGGACATGAACTCTGGCAAAGAGACCCCTGGGGAAGCACCAGACTGCCCACCCACCCATGGGATCATCTCCTGACCAGTACAGGGAGGGACCATCAGGTTTGTGAAGGACAGCCACCAGCACTGATTCCAGTGAGTCACAGGAGTTTCCAAGATATCCCCCAGATCCCCGGATTTATCAGAAGCAAAAAACCCAGCATGTGACAAATCACACTGCAAACACTCCAACACTTAATAAAAGGAGAAGACCAAATGAAGAGCAAATCAATGCAAAGAACCCCAGTCTGTATGGACTCAGCACAGGGGCAATCTGAGGTGAAGATATCAGAGATGTTTAGGTGGATTTACCATTGCATTTTACTGTTTTTTTTAAAAAAAAAACCTCTGTTCCATTTGCATTGTGGCTTTGCCAGACAGACCCTCAGCGGAGTAAAGCTGCTGAAGGTGGGCTGTGAGTAAATGCACACAGTGATGAACACTCACTGTTTACAAAGATAAACCCTTGCTTAGTGTGTCAGGTGTGCAGGCACTTGGCAGGAGCAGGGCTGGAAGCGCAGCCATCTCCAGAAATTCCTGCAGCACAAATCACAGGCTGCAGTGCCTTGGCCCAGAGCTCCCTCTAGCTCAGCCTTCTGCCTCTACCAAGGGCCCACAGGAGATTCCTAGGGAAGAGCTCAGAGAGAGGCAGCATAAAACACCCCCAGCCTTCAGGGACACCTGAGGAAACCAGACAGACCGAGAACCTCTTCAGTCATTTGCACCACAGCCCTTCCTTCCAGCACACACAGCACCTGACAGAGCCCTCAGAGCAGGGCCTGGGCCACCATGGCACAGACATACGTGATTGATGGGGTCTTCCAGGTAGAGGATCCCATTCTTGATGGAGTTGCTGATGTCATTCTCTGAGTACATCACAGATGTGGGCAGCTCCTCGTAAGCGCTGCCCTCCGCCAGCTTCTTGTGCTGAGAGAGGAGAGAGGGGGTCAGGCACCCAAAAAGCAGCAGATTTCCTGGTGAACAGCCCTAAAAGCTCATGTCTGCTGCAGTGGGGTCCTCCAGATTAGAATAAACAAGACCCATATGTCACAGGGATCATCAAACAGCACTGAAGTCCCACCCCTTCTTCCCAAAGGTTCCTGAAGCAGAAATACCAACATCCCCCATGCCCTCAAAGAAAGGCAGCAGCCAGCTGCTAAGCTCATTTCCCAGCAGATTCTCTGAAAGAGAGAATCCTCTGAGAGAGCTTTTTTGTATCCAGCTGTTCTTAGCATCAGGTCTCCACTTCCACCCCAACACTGCCAACCCCCCCTTTCCAACGGCAGCTGCCTTCAGTCCCAAACCCTCAGCCCACTCCCTCACTTAGGAGCTTTGCTGGGCAAGGGAACTCACCTTGATGAGAATCTTCCTCTTGAGCTGGTTTGGAGATGGAAGGCCATCAGCAGAAATATCAACTGGTTTGGTCAAGAGCATGTCTCCAAAAACCTTCTTGAAATTCTGAGCCATGTTCCTCTGCTGAGCAATGCTGCAGTGGTCCTCAATGGACAGAATGACAGGGAAACTGGGAGAAGGAGCAGAGCCATCAAAACCAGCATGGGGATCTGGATGGAACCAAGGCCTTCTGAGCTCTGTCTCAAAGCCTGGCCTCTGTGCCCTCCAGGAGCAGCTCACACCAACAGCCACCTGTGCTGCCTGTAGCCACCCTTCAGGAGGGCACAGGGTGGGGAAGGACTGCCAAACTACTGGGTTTACCCAAAGCCCTCTCTCCCATAACATTTTTATGGGAAAAATCTCCCTTGGGCTGGCAGACATGACACCTTTTCTTCCCACCTCATCCAGGCCTTGTGCTGCAGCTCTGGATAGAGTGAGCTGCAGTTTGCTACCTGGGCTCCACCCTCTCTCTCTGCCCTGCTAGCTGAAGTGCTGCTGTACTCACTCAGAGGTGACAAAGGCATGCTCCTTGATGGTGACCAAGACATCAGAGAACTTGATCTTGGTGGTTAAGGTGTGTCCATGGTAGATGACTGGCATGCCATCAGGACCATCCCAGCAATCCACTGAAAGAGACCCACAGGGGAAACTTAGCCCAAAGGCTGGAACAGAGGCAAGACATGGACATGAGATGGGCTGAGCCAGGTGCTGCTGGCACATTTACTGGAAGGCAATAAAGGAGTGAGGTGGTCACTGAAAGCCCTGATCTTTCTATAGGACCAAAAGCTTGGGCACAAATCACCCAGTCCCACAAAGCAAATTACCTCAGCTCTTTCTGCACATCATGGTGTTAATTGTTGGGGAAGATGAAACAGGAAAGCCTTATCAATATGATTGTCTTGAGAAAAATTGGCAAAAGATTTTGAGAATATAGAAACTATAAGCAAGATTGAAATGAAAGCAAGCTTTGAGATACCTCAGTTACTGAACAACTGGAAAACAATGGCATGGCCAGCTGAAGGTAATCCCCTTTTGATGGAACAACACCCTCTGCTTGGAGACAGATCCAAGGGTCAGAGCAGACCCTACTAGCTTGGCAGAAGGGGTCCAAAGAGTAGTTTTTAGGGTTTAAAATGTAACACAGTATGGTAATGTAATTGTGTGTAAATGCTATAGGATTTGTATATTGTACAAGATTGGTTAGTGGAATATTCAACACAGAAGTTTTATTGTATTGTAACAGGAACCTCACTCTTACGCTTTTTCTCTCTTACCTTTTTTACTCTCTCACCCTCTCATCCTCTCTACCCCTCTCTTCTCCCAGCCCTGCTCTGAGCTGTGGCTGGCAGCTCCCAGCAGGGCCCTTTGCAATAAACTACAAGTTCCAGACCTGGCTGCAGAGATCTCTCATCTCTGTCCATCCCCACCATCCCCATTGCTCCTACAGTTAATGTTGCCACTGGCCAGGCCAGCCTTCAGCTCTGCCCTCCTTGCAAAGCCTCCCTGAGCAGCAGCAGCTGCAGTGCTGAGGCAGGAGGGCTGTTCTGGTACTCACGTTCGATGCAGCGGCAGCCCATGCGCAGGCAGCGCGCGTACGCCTCCAGCGAGGACTCGCTCGAGAACTGATCCCCCGTCAGGTACCTTCCAGGTGAGACAACACATCAGCACACTGACAGGCCCACTGAGGGCACAGGTGTCTGCTGGGACACTGGGGACCTGCCTCTGGCACGTGGAGTGGCAGGAGTGGTGCTTCTCCACACCTGACACTTGGCCCGGGTGAGGGGTTCAGCTCTGCCCCTGCTGCACAGAGGGGTTCAGCTCTGCCCCTGCTGCCAGAACTCCTGTGAGCTCCAGCCCCAGCTCCTGAGACAAAGCTCAGACAGCAATATCAGCCCTGGTGCCACAAAGAGCCCCCTGCAGACCCAGAGCAGGGTTAGATGAGCTCTTGCAGGCAGACAGGATCTCACTGCCTGCCCTCAGGGCTGCTCAGCTGGCTTAGGCTCTCAGTCCTTTAAATTTGGGTTAGCATGAACACAGAGCACAGACAGAGCCTGTCTGCACAGAAAGCAGTTCCTGCAAAATTATTCTAGCAGCAGAGAGTGGAAAATGGCCAATTTCAGCCTGACAGGGTTTATCACATCTGTCCTGAGGGGCTCTGGAGAATGACATTGCTAATGGTGAGAAATTACCAGAGCAACAGCTCAGGACGTGAAGGCACCTGAAGGCCTTTGCAGATCTGTGCTGCTGACAGTGCCTGAGCAAAACATTTATGGCAAAATAACAGAAGGGAGGAGTGGGGAACCAAGAGGAAGGTCTCTGATGTACTGGCCTTGGTTTGGAAAAGCCTACTTGACACATCACTGGAATCAGGCAAAATACTCCCACTCTAACTTGAGAAAAGGATGCTGAGAGCAGCTGGGTGGAGAGAGCCCTCCCCTTGTCCTTACGTGTTGTGTGAGGAGGAGATCCAGTAATGGGAGAGAGGGTTGTTCATGTTCTCCAGACACACCATGTCCAGCTGTGAGTTCCAGATGCTGTTCTCTTTGGAAAACAGGAAGGTGAGAAACTGCTCAGGAAGAAACAGAAACGTGTTAATGATGCAGAGGAGCCAGCTGCTGTGTTTAGCTTCACACACATCTCCCACTCTGTGCCAGCAGACATCCAGCACAGACTGACCAGGGCTGCCCCCAGCACAGCAGCTCCCTGAGCCAGGGTGCCTGAGTGACCACAGCTTGGGCACTGCCACCTACCCCCTGAGCTCTGCCAGATCCTGTGTGCCAGACCCTGTGACCCAGACAGAGACAAATTAACGGCTCTGCATTTTATTTTGCAGCTCACATGGCAGGCAACAGGCCATGTGGGTCAAGGGACCTTGGCTTAGTCCAGAGTGCCAGTGACATGGTCATCTCTAGTTGTTTTTATTTTTTATTCAGCTCTTTTTGCTTTGAAGAGATCCTTACATACCCCAAGGCAGCTCCTCTCCTCCTCCAGATGAGCTGCCTGGTGAGTGCTCCCAGCTCACACACCCAGCACTAAAGGACAGCCCAGAAGCCATTCCCTTTGCCAACCCTGTCCATCTCCCAGGAGCTGTGACCCTCCCAGCACCCCCACCCTGCAGCAAAGGCACAGACAGCAGAGCTGCCACACCTCAGCACACATCACACCAGGGCTGCCATCCCCTGCCTCACCCCACCCCGCACACGCCACCTTCAAGGTGTCTTACTTCATCCAGGGAGAAATAAGGCTCATCAATCTCCCTCAAGGGGTCTCTCAGGAAGTTGAACATGAATTCCTGTACCTGAAGGGGATCTGCAGCCCAGAGCTCCTGCAAAGCCCAGGGGAGACATAAAAGAAGCCATTTCAGAATGTATTACTGCAAACCACATGCAGCTCAGCCAGTTGGAAGCTTTAACCATTAAGGAGGTGGTTTTTGATGCAAGACCATCTCTGCCAGGAACTCAACTGTCAGCACAAGTGCTGGAGAGCACACAAGGGGGAAATCTGCCCTGCTTCTGAGTGGGCTTCATTTTCTCAATGCCGTGCATTTTTCTCTCCAATAGCTCCTTTGAACAACATCTGCCATCCCTCCTCCTTCAGCAGCAGAAGCCAACCCAGCTTCCTCTGGCTCTCTCTCCCTGGGTTTCCTTCATTAGCCACCAAAACACTGCATCTCCCCACTGGTTAACTCCCTGCTGGCTGCAGAGCACAGGCAGGGAGGTGGCAGTGGGGGACAGGGCAGAGCAGGAGCTCTGAGCCATGGCAGGGTTCTGCCAGCCAGCCCTGCCCTCCTGGAGGAGACCAGCAATGAGACAGGAACCTGGCAAGAGCCAAGGGGTCTGTGCTGCCCACAAAGGCACAGCTGGTGCCTCTGTGTGTGTCTGCACATGCATGCTGTGCTTGCTGAGTGACCCAAGATTGTTTTAAATGGAAGAATCAGCAGATGAATCCATCAGCTGCTCCTCAGGAACTGCTGACACCTCCTGAGCAACAGGATGGACATAACCTTGGCTGCAGCAAACCTTTGGTGACGAGCTGAGGGCACAGGGACTGGGTCAACCCCCACTGATCAGTTCCTGCCTCCTGGGACCCCCACTCCTCCCACATCTCCTGGTTCCTTTCCTGGCCAGGGTGCCCAGCTGAGTTCAGGTTTGCCCTCCCCAGCACTTCCCCTACAACACCTCCTGCCCCAGAAGGATGAGCTGTGCCAGGCAGAGCAGCCCAGAGCCCAATCATCCCAGCCCCAGAGCAAGGAGCACTGCACCCCTAATGTCACCAGTGCCCACCCCACTGTCCCTCCCCACTGCCTGTGCTGAGCTCACCCTCTGGTACTCCAGCAAAAACTTCTGCAGCTCCAGCAGTGACACCCTGAAGTGCTCAGACCTTTCTGCACCCCTGGCAAGCAGAGAGGGAGAGAAGCTTCAGTCAGTGGTGCAGCACACCCTGTGAGATGCCATCTGCCCCCTCCCTGGCACAGCCAGCTGTGCCCTGGGCATGCAGCACTGAAGGAGCAGAGTGGATGAGCAGAGAGCTGAGGAGAGCAAACACATGTCCACATGCCAGAACCAGGGACCCCTCCAGGGATCACACTGACAAGGGCATGGTAACACAAAGCTCTGGTGAAGGGCAGCAAAAACCATTAGAGGGATGGATTAGTGGAAAAAATAAATTAAAAAAAATAGAGGGTTTGGTTTGAACCTGAGTGTAAAGAACTAAATAGGGGCAGGGCAGTTAAGGGGTGACTGCAGACAGGACAGACCTACAGGTATGCAGAGAACATGGGCTCATGGAGGCAAGACAGGGAATGAAGAAGGGAACTGTCTGTAGGTGATGATATCAAAAGAGTGGTCCATGAGTGCTGAAAGTCACAATGGACAGCCAAGGGCCATGCTGGGCACTAACACCACAAAATCCAAAGGGGACTGGGCAGTGCTGGCTGCCCTGGGCAGAGGGCTGAGCCAGCTCTGCTGAGGGTCCTGACACCTTTTCTATGGTTATAGGAAAAAAAAGGAAGGCAGCCATTGGGAATTACAGGACAAGTCAGTAAGTCTTTCACTCTTTAGCTCCTGTGTCTAAATTCAAGCTCTTTCTCTCACAGCCAAGGTGAGCAGAGGGCAGGGAAGGGCACAGCTGGCACTGCCTGGGTGGGGAGGGCTCTGCAGCCACCATGAGCACAATCCCTGGGAGATGCCTTGAGATCTGACCACATCAACCAACTGGCCTGAGCTGGATGGGAGGGAGAGAGCCCTCCCTGCCCTGAGCTCAAGTGTCTACAGCATTGATGCTTGCTCAGAGCACAGAACCACAGGCAGCACAGGAGCAGGAGAAGTGCATAATGCCCCATCCCAACATGCTGCTGCAGGCCCCAGAGCATGTTTTGGAGCAAAAGGAAACAGCCCCTTCCCCAGAAAACACAGAGAATTGTCCACCTTTCCAAGAACGGGACATCCATCTGCAAAAGAAGAAGCACAAGCATTAGGTTTGCACTCAGTAACTTCTTTACTCCCAAGAGAAGAGCTCACCCCAAGGGCAGCAGGGTTAAAAAGTCAATTAAGTGGGAATGCCCAGTAACAAATAAGGTTTCTCCCTTCCCTCTCCTCCCCCAGAGAATTCAGCTCTTACTGTTTTCTGGGCACTGAACATGAGGCTGCGGTAGAGCTGTGCAAACTGTCCATATGTGATATCCCCATTCCTCTGCTCCACATCCTGAAAAACAAATCAAATCCAGAGGTTTTACAGAGGCCAGAGGTAACTCTGCATGGCTTAAGGAATGTCTCTTCCCACCAGTATCCTTGGGGAAAAAAAGAGGAGAAAAAGGCCAAAACCCATCCAGACTTTGCCTCCTGCACAATGGCCTCAAGTTGCACCAGAGGAGGGATAGATTGGATATTTTGAAAAATTCATGCAGACAGTGATCAGGCACTGGAACAGGCTGCCCAGGCAGTGGTGGAGTCACCATCCCTGCACCTGCTCAGAAAACATGTTGATGTGGCACGTGGGGACATGGTTTAGCAGACATGGCAGTGGCTGGGTAATGGTTGGACTCAATTATTTTAGAGGGCTTTTCCAATCTTAACAGATCTGCCACAGTCTCTGCTGGAGCCAGCAGGACCCTGCAGTGCCCAGGGCACAGGCACATCCTAAAATAAGCTTCACAATCCCCCAAGCTCACCCACACAAAGGCAACCCACACAATGATAAAGTGTCACCACTTACTGAATACCTACAAAAGGATAATTTGATTTTTTGTTTGCCCAGAGCGTCTGAAGTGTCTGGAAACTGCAAGACCCAAAGTGTGTGCTCTCCTTTGGATACCCCACTCTTTGGCCTTGGAGTTCTGTGCTGGTGGGAGCAGCTGCTCACCATGAGATGACCCTTCATGCCCGGGTCAGTGGCGATGCTGGCAGAGCATCACTCCCTGGCAGGGGGTGCAAGAGCCAGGATGCAGGACCTGGCAGCTGTTCTGCACTCTACCCCACCAGCACCAGCCCGTGACTGGAGCCAGGAGCAATGAGGGGAGTGTGGGAGGCAGGGTGGGGTAAGGAGAGGGTGCTGGCCACAAATGGGCCAGGGCGCGGCACCCAGTGGGAGCTGGCACCTCTTCAGTCACCACCGTGGGTGGGGGCCCTCCCAGGAAAGGCTGGGAGGCTCTGCAATATGCAAACACTCCCTGGGAGTTGAACCACCAGCAGTTCTTGCTCCAAGGCAGGCACTGGGCTGCTGAGGGGAGAGCAGAGGGGCCACACGCTCACCGTGAGTCGCTCGCGCAGGAACCTCATGTTGGGCACGCGGTAGTTGACCTGGGACAGCATGTTCTTCAGATCCTTGGCAGAGATCCTGCTCAGCAGGGAAAGAGGGGACACCTGGTCAGCAGTCTGGGATGGAGGGGGGGGTCTCACCCTGGGGCTGGAACAGGCACAGAGAGGCTGTGCCCAAAGGGACACCAGCTGTGGATGGATGGATGGATGGATGGATGGGTCACCCCAGGAGGATGCAGAGAGAGGTATCTGCACATCAGTGGGGACTGCAAACACTGCTCCTGCAACTCCTGACAGAGCAGGGGGAGCCCAGCAGCCTCTGCCCAATGGAGCTGATGCCACAGCTGACAGGCAGCACCCACTGCTTTAAATGAACAACCAGGAAGAAGCATTTCTCAAGTATCTGTGCCCCAGCATGGATGCTGGGTGACCAACTCCCTTCCAAAACCCACTCCCTGGCCTGCTGGAGGAGGACAGGCTCTCTAAGTGGTTAGGACTCAGCTAATTTTATCTTAAGGAGAGGAAAAAAGCCATTTTAGGTCCCCAGGCACAGGCACCCATCGTGCCCAGCTGTGCTCCCCCAGCCCCACAGGCTGCATGGCCATGCTTCCCAAAGCCCTCCACACCAAAGGTGCTGGCTCCACACCAGGGAAAGCTCCAGTGTTTTCCTCCATCCTGAGCAGGATCTCACAGCCCAGCAGGCAGAGACAGGCAGGAAGGAGCTCTGGGCTGCCCTTGCCTGTTCCAGGCTGTCCCCACATGGGGCACCAGCCCTGCAGCACGGAAAAATGAGGATGCCTCCCATCTGCAGGGTTTAGAAGCTGAGGGGTCTGTGTCCAATCATTTTCTGGCAGCTCCTTCCTTAAAAGCAAGTCCTGGGAGTCCACCCCTGCAGTCACAGATGGTGCTCCTGTCCCCCACTGAGCACATGGGAACACAGGATCCTACAGGATGCTCCCCCATCCCACAAAGCACAGGGCAAGTCTGGAAATCCTTATGGCTTTGGGGTGCAAATATAAAAATAGCAGGGAAGATGCCCTGCACAGGGGATTTAACCCAGGGGCATGCTGGCATTCACATGTGACATCTTTTTTACACTCTTCCCTGGAAGCAGGGTGATCTCAAAGAGCACAGGAAGGAGGAGGGATGGAGAGGGAGAAGCAGGCTGGTGTCAGGCGCTGCAGAGCCCAGGGCTGGGCAGCCAGCAGCACACAGAGAGCCCTTGTTCCTGCCCTCAGACCCACACACAGCCAGAGCAGGACCTGGCCCAGCTCCTATGCCCTGCCCAAGGCCAGCCAAGACTTTGCAGTGTCCTGCCACTCACTGGCAGAACAGAAAAAGAAAAAAGAATAAAAAGAAGCTGGGAAATGGCCCCAGCTCCCCTTCCCTCATGCTGTACTGTCAGCAGCACACACAGCACAAGCATCTCCCCTGCACCTCCACCTCCCTGGGCAGCTGAAGTTACCCTGGGGGCTCACAGTGAGTGCTCTGGGCAGGAGCTGCTGCCCTTGCCCTCCTCCAGCACACCCAGCAGGCAGGGGCAGGGGGCCCTGGGAGAGAGGGAAATGTGTGCAGTGAGCAGGAGCACAGCAAGGGAGGCCATCACACACCAGGAACCCCAGCATGTAACAGCTGTCATGGACCCCCAACAGCACACACAGAGCCCCCAGGGCTGCCCAGCAGCAATCCCTCCCTGGTGAGAGCATGAGGCTGCAAAAAGCTCATGGAAAAGGAGCAGGAGAGGCTGCAGCAGCAGCAGCCATGCCTGGGGGCTCTCTGGAGCTGGCACTCAGCTCTGGGGATGCTGAGCTGTTTCACAGGAGGTGCTGGAGCACAGCCCTGCTCACTGATGTGACAAGAGCAAGCCCTGTCAAAGCTGTGACCAGCATTTCCCTCCCAGCCACAGGAGGAGGACAGGGTACAGAAGGATTTTATTTATTGTGTGTTACTCATCATGTTAAACTGCTGGAGACCTTGGATAAACAGCTTGGTAGTATTTTCAGACTAGAAAGTAAAAACAAAATAAACTCATTTTTTCTACAGGACAATTTTTAAGGTTTCATGACAAACAGGCCAGAGATCCAGCCCTCTCACAAGGGATGGAAACATTCCCCTGCCAGCCCTCAGGGTGTAAATGCTGCTCCCAGAGCCATGGGCAGCTCTCCTGGCCAGAGGTGAAACAGTCTCCTCCAGAGCAATTAGGAAAAAAAACCCCAGCATCCTGTTATCCTCCTCTTTCCACCTAACCTCCCTTGGAAAAACAAATACCCAAAGGGCCAGCAGCCAGTGGAAACAGCCACCATCTGCTGGGGCTGCAAGGGACAGCCCAGCCCCCAGACAGGGAAGGCAGAGAGAGGAAAGGGCTCCAGCACAGGAGCCATGGGGTACACAAATGCTGGGAATGATTTCTGCAGCTGCCAAAACCCTCTCTGCTCTGGAAAGGATCAAGGATGCTGTGTAAGTGGGGTCTTAAAAAAAAATAAAAATCACAACTCACTGTTCCCTTTGAAAACCCACTTCCAGGCTCTGAGGCAAAAGCAAAGAGCTCAGTGACATTAAGTTGAATGCTGGAGTGCCTCACAGGGGCCAAGATTTAATCCAGGAGATGTGTATGTCACATAACTGTAGCCTCTACCTTGCAGAAAACACATGGATGCTTGTAAAATGTTTGTAAAATGGGAAGACCCCAAATCTTTCCACAGCTCTTCTGATGTTTTACTCCTCTCACTGCCTGGGCTGGAGCAGCAGCTCTCCTAATTCTGCACTGAAACCTCTCCCTGTGGGTGACAGGTAAGGAATGTATTGGATTTTGCTGCCTTAATTCCACATGCTAATAGAAAGATGATATCAATAGAATCAACAGGGATGCAACAGGCTGGCTGTCAGCTCTGCTGATCTGCCTTGGGCACACAGATCTACACCTGCAATCTCCTTTTGTGCTGCTGGCATGCCATTCCATCACTTTTACTGCATAAACAGGGGGAAAAAAGGACCAATTATTTCCACTTTTCCTGCGTTCCTCCTCCAAAACCTCCACACAGCTACCCCTGCACCTGCCTCAGTGCTCTCCTTTGCAGAATCAGGAAATACTGTGCCCAGTCATCACTGTGTATACAGCCCAAGCCTGGATTCAAAAGGTGTGTGGCTTATGCAGGGCAGCTGCAACAGATTAAAGCTCCTCTTCTTCCCTTTCTGTGAGGATTTCTCCCCCCTCCACAAAATCCTCATGCACCTGTTGCAGACATCTTTTATGAAAATCCTTTCCTTAGGATTTTTCCTCCTGAGAAGCTGAGAGGCCTCAAGAACAAGATGTAACCAATGGTTATCTGCTGCTGTGGAATGCAACAGGTGCATCTGGGATTGACCCATGTGGCTGTTTCTAATTAATGGCCAATCACAGCCCAGCTGGCTCAGACAGAGAGTCCAAGCCACAAGCCTTTGTTATCATTCTTCCTTCTCTATTCTTAGCCAGCCTTCTGATGAAATCCTTTCTTCTATTCTTTTAGTATAGTTTTAATGTAATATATATCATAAAATAATAAATCAGCCTTTTGAAACATGGAGTCAGATCCTCGTCTCTTCCCTCAACCTGAGACCCCTGTGAACACCATCACATGCACCCAGCAGTGCTCTCTCACAGAACAAATCACTGCAAAGGCAAAAACATCCAGTGCAGCAGGATCTGCCCCATGCAACACACTCCTGGCCAGGATCAATTGATCCCCTGGCTGGCTGTCCTGGGAGGGGCACAACAAGGACAAAGCAGAGGATGCTCCGGACCCCAGTGCTCTGCAGGCAGCCCTCTCTGGAGATCAGAGCATGGAAAAGGGGCAGGTGGGACCCAGGTCCTGCACAGCAGGCAGGGCTGGTGCCCCCAGGGGAGGGATCAATGCTGAAAGGTTAATGGGCTCAGTTAACATCACTGCTAGGGGAGAGGCATGTCTCAGGATGGATGCAAGGAGGCAAACAACAGCAGCTCAGTAAGAGCAGGCTGGCAGCCAGCACTGGTGATGGCAGTGGGACAGAGAGCAGAGCACGGTGAAACTCAGCTCCCCAGCAGGAAAATGTCCCCTCCCTTATCTCATGGTGAATCATGACCTAATTCCCTTCCCTCACCTCCTCATGACATTTTCCTTGCTAGCACAACACCAAGTACTCACCCAAGAGCCCCACAAGCCAAGCAGTGGGATGATCCATGCCCTTATGGGCCTCAGAAAAGGAGAACAGAACAAACAGGGTGGGGAATAATAAACACAACCCAGTTCAGCCCTGATGGGGGGCCCTGAACTCCTCTTGGCTCTTTGATGTCTGCTTCCTTGGGTGGTGCCAGCTGGGGGGAAGGTGTCAAGGTGTTACTGGGTCCAAACAGCTGAGAACTGGGTCAGGAAAACAAGGCAGCTTTTTTATGCTTTTTTTTTAATTCAGTGAAAATCAGCCAGGGAAGTCTGAGACTTGGATTAAAGGTTCCTCAAAAATGAGCATTAAAAGCCTAAAGAACCCAACAAAACCCCCAGAGGGTTTCAAGTGAAAGGTGAAGCCCTCCAGCCCAACCCCTCCCTCCTCACCTGTCCTCCCGGTTGCGATCCAGGGAGTAGAACTGCTTCCGGAGCCACCTGGGGGAGGCACAAACAGGCACACACTCAGCCCCTGCTCCAGCCCCTCTCTGGAGGATGCTCAGAGCCACAGCATCCTCTCCCACACCCCTCCTGCCCACCAGAGAGCCCAGCTCTGCCCCTTTCACAGGCAGCCTACCCTATTTTCATACAAGTTCTGCTTTAAAAGTGTCTCTGTGCTGAAGTGCTCCAGATAATACAGGCTATGCACACACAGAAATATCAATTTGTGGTAAAACTCCTTCTCCCTGATGCATGAGATCAGACTCTGGGGTCAGCAGGATGAAGCTTCCTGAGTGCAGAGGCAGAAGTGCTGGGTCAGCACGACTCAGAGAGGAATGAGATGTCACTGTGCTCACCTTTTTCTGTCAAAACAGACAGAAGGGGGAAAAAAGAAAACAAGTGCAGGAAAAGGCTTTCCTCACCTTTCAATCTGCAGGGGGGTGGGTGCTCTCAGAGTGTCTGCCACCAGCCAGTTCAGCCCCTTGATCCACATATTGACCTCATCCTCAGAAGTGGCTGTGGAAAATGTATAGAAGGGGAAGAATGGACACACAGGCTTGATCACCAACCCAAACCTCCTGGGACTATCCCCAGCACCTTACATGCCCTATTCCTTGCTTCACCCCCTTTCTGGTAACATTTCCCCCCCAGAGATGCTCTGGCTGGGCTCCTCTCCCTGCATGTCCCACTCCCTCCTCCTCCAGCTCCCGAGAGCTGTGACTTATCTTTGTCCCCAAGCAGCAAAGCTGTTTGGGCTCTGTGAGGATGAAACTCTGGCTCAACCCTGCCTGGCACAGCCCCAGGAGAGCTCTACCTTGCAAGCTGAGGGTTTTCAGGCGGAATTCTGTGCCGTAGAGGACGACAAAGCAGTGAGAGTGCTCTGGTCGGAAACACGGATCCTCCTGGTAGCGGTCAAAGTCCCGCGAGTTCCTCCCTGGCCGGATCTCCTTGATCTCACGAATGTCCACTGGGAGAGAGGGAAAACATTCAGTGAACAGCTTGGAATTCCCACAGCACTGGAGAAGGAAGGGCACAGATGTTGCCATCTTATGGCAGGGGTTCCATGCTGTTGTCTCCTTATCAGAAAAGTTCCAAACCTTCCGGGTGTTTCTCATGGGCAGCTCCTCAGAGCACTGACTCTTTCTCCTTCACAAAGCAGCCACTGACCCCAGTTCCCTTCTCACCCAGCCACCCCACTCTTTTATAGCATTCTTCTTCTCATTGGCCTGTTAAAGTCAGGCCTGCTCCTAATCTTTGATAATTGGCCCAGCTGCAACTCCTTAGGGGTGAGATTACTTTCTACACTATCTTTATTTGCTTATATTCTATCCCCCTACACAGAGATGAAGTGGATGCAGTCATCTGAAGAGCTGCATGATGGCAGCCCCAGGCTGACACCCATTAAGAACAGCCCCCTCACTGCTTCCCAAGGAGGTTTCCCCAGCCAGAACCCTCCCAGTTACCTCTGTGCTCCCCAGAAACACCTGAATGTCTCCCCCACAGGGATCCCCAGGAAGGGGCAGCTGTGAGCATGCTGGAGCATTAGCACTAAGCAAGGAGGACACTGAAAAGGGAGCATCTCACAGCCTCCCTCCCCAGAGGAAATTCTGGGAAAGGATTCCTATTGCCATAGAACAAAGAGAAAACAGCAGCAGCAGCAAGGGGAAAAAAAAAAAAAAAAAACAACAAACCCAAAACAATGAAACCCAACCCAAACCCAAGAATTTTTGCTTCCTGGAAAAATAGTTTCTTAAATGCTTGTGGGAATCAAATAACAACATTTCTGAGTCACATTTCCAAAGCAGATGATGCTTCTGAGCAATGCAGGATGGAGATTACTGCAAACCTGGCATGTAATTCATCCCAATTAAACTCCACTTACTGCACTCACTGTGGATCATCTTGCCTTTCATTTCTATTTAATGCAGCTTAAAACTAGACAGAAATGTGGCCTGCTCATCACCCACAGCACTAAACTGCAGCATGAGAGATGATGCTCTCTCCAAACCCCACAGCAAGGCAGGCACAGGGATTGACTTTGGGAGGACTTGTAAAGCACAAAGAACACGGGATCCTCTCTTGGATCCTGCTCCTGTGCAGCACTGAGGGTGCACCTGGAGACAGTGGCAGCCTGTTCATTGCCTGGCACAGCACACATCAGACTGACCACTCTGTGAACTCTGGGGGTGTCCTGAGCAGAGCCAGGAGCTGCATTTCATGAGACTTGTGGGTCCCTCCCAACTCAGGATATTCTGTGAATCTAATAACCCTCCAAAGCTCATCAAGCTGTGACAAGAGCATAGAAAGACCCAGTTCCTTGGGGCTGCAAAGGAAGGACAGACAAGCTTCCTAAAATAAGCAAGAATGTGACTTTTTGAGGCATCATCTACCCTTTGGAAAGGAGCTGTCTGGCAGCTCAAATGTTAGCATGCCCTGCCATAACCTTACCCATGTGCTCACGTCCTTAGGGACACAGCAGGTTATTTTAGCCCACAAAAACCCATAGCACAGCTCAGGTCCTTGCATCCAGGACACACACAGTGGGGTTGAAGGCTAATCCTGACCTTGGAGGATGCAGGGTTTGACCAACACAGGGGGGGAAAACACGTCAGATGGTTTTTCATGATAATTTACCAGGCAATAACTACCAAAGGAAGGTGCTGGGATATTCCTGCCCTGCCTTTGCAAGCAGACTGCCTGCACTTTGGGATGCTGCAGAGGCGGCTGTGCCCTGTGCTCACCCCTCCCTGCACACAACACCAGGAGGTTACTACCCAGAGAGGCAGAGCTGCTGTTACAGAGTGCATACCTAAAATCCACGCAGTGGAGAGAGCCCTGGAGCAAGTGAGGTGCTTATCAAGGACAAAAGCACGCAGGGAATTCCTAGGGCAAAGGGCAGGATCCGTGAGGATGGGGCAGGAACCTCCTGCCCACGCATACCTGCAGCTGCTTGCTCTTCTTTCTCACCCTCCCAAACCTACCTGAGTGTGCTGGGGAAGGCTGTGCTGGGGTTTGCTTAGTGCAGCACAGGGCTGAGCCCAGGCTGCCCGGCCAGCCACCAGGGAAAGGAGGGTGGAGGGATTTTCCTCTGTTGTCTCACATATCAAGAGTTCTATTATCATTATAGTGCAAGGATTCCATATCCCCAGAGTTTCATACCTCCTCAATCCTTCTCACAGGCATCTCCTCTAAGCACTGACTGTTCCTGGTCCTTGCAGTCCTCATCTGACTGCAGATCCCACCAACCCACTCTTTTATACCACTGTTCTTATTGGCTTCAGGTGTGGCCTGTTAACATCAGGCCTGCTCCTCATTTTTAGTAATTGGTTCAGCTGCAACTCTTTGGGGATAAGATTACATTCTACACCACCTTCATAGTGTATCCCCTACACTCCTGGAGCCCAGGTGTCACAGGGACAGCCTGCAGGCTCTGCCCTGCTCAGCACAGGAGTTTCCCCATCATGGGCTCTGTGGCATGGCCCAGTGTCCCACCATGGGGCTGCACCTCCAGCCCTTGCTGGGAAAGGCCTGCCAAGGATGTGGGCAAAGTTTTGTCTCAGGGCCTCTCACTGCTCACAGTGACCCCCAGATGTGTTAGAAAGTCTCTTTTCCCAGCCTGGTGCTTGAAGAAGGAGTCAGAGCTCTTCAGTTCTTGGTCTCAAGGTTGTTTATTGTATCTTATCTATAAAATATTTTCTCCTGTCCAGCTGAGGTCCCTTCTCTGCCTGCCCCCAGGGCAGTGTTATCTTTTTATACTAAAAACTACATGTACATTATTTACAATTACTTTCCAATACCTATCACCTATGTTAGACAGTGAGCTTCTACTCTAAACCAATCCAAAAGTGCCAACATCACAGCAGAAGATGGAGGCCAAGAAGAAGAAGGAGAAAGGCTGGGCATGCCCAGATTCCTCCATCTTGCCTCCTGAACCCCCATACCAAAAACCCCAAAATCTACTTTTTCACCTTGTGATAAACTCACTATCATTCCACTTAAACTGTCGTGGCTTGCAGATCTTCATCCAAGGTTGGTAGCTTGCTCCATGGGTCATAATCAAACCCACAGGGGCATCTTGGGCTCTGTGCCAGGGTCTCTGAGCCCCCTGGCAGGCTCTGGGCTGCTCAGGACAGCCAGAGGGACGTCCTGGGTCCTGACAGACACAGACCTGGTGGGGCCCCAGCTCCACAGGCACACCTGGGCAGGTGACCTGGGGCAAGCCCTCCAAAGACAAGTCCCCTGTCACCAAGGTGAGCCACATCTCCTCCTCCCCAAGCTGCCCTCTCCCTCAGGGGAGGCAGAGTGTACAAACTGGTCCTTATCCCACCTGGGATGTGGCAAGAGAGGAAGAACTTGGTCCCAGAGCAATGGCAGAGGAAGCTCTGTGATGGAACAGGAACCCTGCTGCAGCATCCCTCACCCCCGTGAACTAAAAAGGCAACTCAGCCCTTTCAGTTAAGCACTCAAATCCACATAAAACATCCTCTGACTTCCCTTGCTGTCCCAGGGAGGAGCCATCCTGGTGCCCAGGGATCAGTGGGTGCCCTGCTCTTGGGAGTGGGCAGAGCTGTTTGCCCCAGAGCAGAGCCAGCAGCACGCAGGGGTGGGTGAGCAGAGGCTGGGACTGCAGCCTGGAGCAGGCTGGCTCCTCTCCAGCCCTCCTGGGAGGGTGGGTGTGCAGCCAGCAGAGGCTCTGGGAAGGAGGCAGCAAAGCCCACCCAGCCCAGAGATGCTCTGAGCTCCCCACATGGCTCCACAGTGCACTCACTCTGAGCCATCCCATGGCTCTACAAACAGTTGTGCCCTTCACAACCTCCCGAATTCCCCCACAGCCCACTGCCAGAAGAAACAGCCTGGCCCTCCCTTTGTCTCCAGGGCTGAAAAAAAAAAAAAACAAAGAAAAAAAAAGTCACATTTCTGGGCAAAGAGCCCTCTTTCAGCAGGAGTGGGTTGCATCAGAAAGAAAAAGCTGACCCCAGATCCACCTCCCTCACCATGTAAGAAAAAAACCCACCAAATTACCCTCTGGTTACATGAAAACCAGATCCACCCTTGAAGTCATTTAAAACTGAAACTTCATCCAAGGCTCATTTGCCCGCTGATGGATGGGGTGTTGTAACGTGCAAGGATAAGCACAGCCTGGAAAGGCTCTGAGGCTTGCAAAACAGCCACCTCCAGAGGATTTCTGGAAAGATGGAAAACTGATTAAATTTAACAACAACAACAACAACAAAAAAATTAAAAAGCTGACCAAAAAGAGCATTTAGGCCGATGACTTTCCAGGATGGGTTTATCAGGGACAGCCTCCAAGCAAACACCCACCCCCTCAACAGGCACTGCTGTGCCTCCCTGGGGAGAAATGCAGCGAGAGGCAGGGGTCACTGCCAGCCCAGCTGGCTGACATGGACTGATCCTGCCCGGGGGCAGCGGAAAAGCCTCCAGCCTACTCACTCTGGCAAAGAAATAGAGGTTACAAGAAGAGTCTTCCTGCTGTTTAGCATTGTGGATCCCACTGAGCACAGCCATGTGGTCATCCCCAGGCTTCCCATCCCTGGAAGGGGCACCAAAGGGTCAGGTGGCCCCCAGGGAGAAAGAGGAAAAAGACTTGTACGTGCATGTGAGTAAAATACAAGAAAAATCTATTATGCAGCAGTGTGGAGAGTAAAGCAGGGCCACCTCCCCTTTAATATTTCAGTGGAAGCCCCCCTGGAGTGGACATTTGGGCCAGCAGTGGCCATCAGGAGCTGCAGGAGCATCCTGGCTCACCCCAGCCTGGTGTTCCCCCAGCAGCAGCCCTGCCCCTGCTCTGCTGCTGCAACCCAACACCGCCTGCAGGAACAGCAAAACCCCAGCACGGCTCCCCTGGGAGCTCAGGAATGGCTGGGCAAGCTCTAAGTGCTCGGCTGGCCGGGGGCCAGAGCCCTCAGCACCTCTGTCTGCCTGGAGCTGTCTCTGCCCTTTGCTGTT